CCTGAGTACTTTTTTGAAAAATTTTAGGATAATGTTTTTTGCACCTACCATCTTTCATACATGGTGCAGTTGGGTTTACTATACTACATGGAACATGCATTATCATGGTTGTTACTGTTTCATAAGCAAGAGGATGCATCTCTGGATCTGGAATTTCAGCGGAAATGATAGAATCGTAATCATCTGTAAATCTTAACTTGTCTTTTGATGCCAGTATTAATAAGATATGTGCATAAGGTAGACCACGTTTTTAAAATTCTATTACATATACATACACAATAACTTTATCAAGCCAATAATTACGACATAGGTCTTTTAATAATTCCTGTAGTTTTATATGAAACACACGGACTGTTAAATCGGGTCTGTCAATAGCATTCTGATAAGATAATAATTCCCTGGTAACTTCTGGCCACTTTGAATTACATGTGAAAGTTACAAAAAGATCAGGTTTTCCAAAGTGACTTACAATAGCCATCGCATCTTGGTATAACTGATACATTTGATGTGGCCTACTAGTAAATGATAATGGAAGGATTATGTGATGACCAATGTTATTGTTGCTATCTTCAGTATATATTGCATCCGTAATACCTTGATATAATTCAGTTCGAAGTGATGCCTGATTATATCTAATGTAATTTAAATGATTTTGTTCTATTTTAGCATATTAATCAACAATATACTGTTGATATAAATGGTCTGTGCTCTGTATCCAATCATCATTTCTAATTTGCAACCTGTAACAATAATATTGCATTACTGTTACTTTATCTCTTTTCTTAGCACCTATGAGAGGTATGTCAAAATACCAACCATCATTACCTTTTGGAAATAGTAATACATAATGAAGCGGATCATATGATGAACAAAATTCTAATATTCTTTGTAGACCTCCACTACACAACCTAAGAAGAATGTCTTGACTGAATGGTTCCATCTCATGACTATCACCAATTATAATTATAGCTACTTCAGAAGCTGTAGGAGAACCATACCAATTAGTATCTTGTGTTTGATCACTATGAATTAACATTGAAATTTTGGTGGTTGCATTTTTCTAAATAAGGTCCCTTATTTGATGAAAATTTTTAATATATGGATTGTATTCATCTAATGTATCCTGCAGATTCTTTATAATATCTTTATTTAATTCCTGTATAATATTATTTCAATTTTCATCTTCATGCGCAGTATCATAGACATATAGTTGAACAAATACAGGCGTGTAACCTGCTGGCAGTAATGTCTGATGTGGTGATAGACTTGGCCATGAATCTGGAAATTAGATACTCCTTGTCCTTGAAATTCATTTATATTAGCTCTAAATGACATGCATACCAAGATATTATTATAGCTTCTAATGTTTTTGTGAAATGAATTAGCATTAGATCTAGTTAATATGTACAGATCCAACAAATATGATGGTGGTTTAGATAAAGATTGTAAACGAACTTTACCATAAGCACAGCAAATTGCAAATGTTGAAGATCTACGATTGCTATTGTGATTCTTTTCGCCTATCCAAAATTTGGTGCTACAATGAATGCATATCTAATCCATCCTCTCCAGTTCATGACGTTCTAGTCTTCATTTTCAATTAACTTGAGTCTTAGCTTTTCTAGCTTCTGATCCTATAGTATTGGAAACGGTCTTATTTGAAATGGTAAGCTCATTTGATTCTGGCTCATTTGATTTTGACTCATTCAATTTTGGCTCATTCGATTCTGGCACGTTATCTATAGATTCAATACTGCTCTTAATTATGATAGGTTTATCTGATGCTGGTGCATAACCTATATATTCAACACTATGCTTATCTAATTTTGGCGCGTAATCTATAGATTCAATACTACTTTTAATCACAATGGAAGGATCTGGCTCTGTTATGTAATCTAGATGTTCAACAGATTCAATGCTAGTCTTATTTATGGTAGGCTTATCTAATTCTTTCATGTAATTTATATGTTTTTTAATGGATATAACACTATTCTTATTTACAGTTGCTTCTATTATTTCCACGTGCTCTCCAATTTCCCTTACTATATTATTTATTTTTTGTTTTTTTTTATAATTTTT